GTTTTAGCAAAGTTACTTGTTTTTCTAAATAATCTAAATAAAAAATTCACTTAAAAATACTGACAATCTTAGGGTATTTTTCGCGAAAAATTATGGAATACATTTCCTCACGTTGTAAAAAGTTTTGAAATCCCTTTTCAGCTTCGAGTTTGGGACAAAAATCAAATCCTTTTCTATCAAAAAACGAACAGAATCAGCGAAAGTTGATTGGTGATTTTCGCCGTTGTTTAGACCACATCTCGATAGCTCTGAACAAAGCTGCTAGACAAACCGTTCATTGGGTTTTAAACTGAACACTTAAAAGGTAAAATTATGCCAGTATTAGTGAAACGTTCATAAAACTCGCCAGCGAAAATGGATGAAACGTGAAAAAAATGCTCGATTTCTAGTGAAAGCAGTTCGGAAAACGCGTTAAGGACGCGCAGACTACACACTATTACATACACACAAACGGCCCACAGACTCCACACTATTATAATCAGACGACCGGCCTACTGGAACACGGGGGCGGCTGTGTATGTGCGCGTGAGAACTGCGCACTTGTTTTCATCTATGCCAGACATAGCTTAGGCCTGGGTAACTCAGAGAATTTTTAGGAGTTGGCGCAGTGCTGCATTCCGGCTTCAAATTTGGAACAAAAATCAAACAATTTTCTACCAAAAAACGAACAGAATAGCGGAAGTTTATAACAGATTATTTGGAAATATCGTCACCTCCATTCCTCTGAAGACTGTAGAGCATGTTCAAAAAATGTGGTTTTTTAGTTTTGACTGATTGCGTTACTTTCCACGCAAAATCGCTCTGTTTTGTAGAGTTTCACTTAAAAATACTGACGGTCTGGGGGTCTTTTACTCGAAAAATAAGATAAATCTATAGATTTGTAGGCATTTTACAAAAGCTTTTCAGCGTCGAGTTCGGCACAAAAACTAAAATAAATTTCTCCCGTTTTTTTCCCGAAGATTTTCTCAAAAACCGATTACTCAACTATGTTTTTAATAAAAAAAACGCAAAAAAAACTTTCTTCTTTTCTCACTACAATGAGGTATTTTCAGCCAAAAATTACAAAATTTATTTTGATAGAAAATTGGCCTCATTCATCAGTTTGCAAGTCAAGAAATTAAAGCAACTTAAGAAAATCCTTATCAACTTCGAATTTGGCACAAAAACCAAATAATTGTATTCAGTTTTTATCGAAAATAATTAAGATTATCTTGAAAAAATGTCCAGAGCAAAAGCTTTAAAAAATTATTTGATTATTTGGAAAAGTCGCCACACTCATCGCTCTTAATATTTTTCAAGTTTCTTTAAAATTTCATTCCAGTGTTAGCAAAGTTTCTATTAGGCAATTCTTGCTACGCAAAAAAACGTATTATTTTCAGTTTTACTTAAAATGCTGACAATCTTCAGCTATTTTCTGTGAAAATTATAATATAAATTTTATTGGAACACTCAGCTCCTGAACAGCTTTGTAAATTTTTTTCTGGAACCTTTTGCAGCTTTGACTTTTGGACAAAAGCCTAATAATTTGTTCTGTATTTTTTCCCAAAAATATTTCCCCGAACAGAACAAGTGAACGTTTAGAATCAATTATTCGGAAAACTTTTTTCACTTTTGTCGCTGTGAATAATTTTGTTTATTTAAATTCCGGTTTCTTCACTTTTAGGTCAATATTTCTGAACAAAACTCTCTCTAAACAGAACAACGCATTTTTTTCTAACGTTTTGCTATAAAATACTGGCAAACTGAGAGTCTTTTATGCAAAAACTTCAAAATATGGATTTACAAGAAAAGTCGCCGTCTTTACAGTTTGGTCTTCTTTATCGTCTTTTTCGAACACSCGTTTTACCTTTGAATTTGGGACAAAATCGAAACAAAGTTAYCTTGTTTTTTTTTCGACAAAATTTAGGTTTCCTCAAAAGACGACCAGAGAGCGCAAAAGCATATAATCAATATATGGAAAACTCGTCACCCTCATCGCTCTGAAATGTTATGTTTCTTCAAAATTTCCAGATTTTTTCGTTTTAGACCAAATAGTTTCCCGGACAGAACAAGTGAAAGTTCGGAAATTATTCGGAAAACTCGTCACTTTTGTCGCTGTGAATAATTTGGTTTATTTAAATTCCGGTTTCTTCACTTTTAGGTCAATATTTCTGAACAAAACTCTCTCTAAACAGAACAACGCATTTTTTTCTAACGTTTTACTATAAAATACTGGCATACTGAGAGTCTTTTATGGAAAAACTTCAAAATATGGATTTACAAGAAAAGTCGCCGTCTTTACAGTTTGGTCTTCCTTATCGTCTTTTTCGAACACCCGTTTTACCTTTGAATTTGGGACAAAATCGAAACAAAGTTATTTTGTTTTTTTTTCGACAAAATTTAGGTTTCCTGAAAAGACGACCAGAGAGCGCAAAAGCATATAATCAATATATGGAAAACTCGTCACCCTCATCGCTCTGAAATGTTATAAGTTTCTTCAAAATTTCCAGATTTTTTCGTTTTAGACCAAATAGTTTCAAGCAATCGTATGCGCAAAAGCAATATGTTGACCGTCATCGGCCATGAGTTATAACCCATTAACTCAGAGAGCGACAACAACTCCAAAGCGCAACTCAACAGAGTGTTACTCAGGTTTACCTACGACGCTGTTAATCCAAGACTCTTTTGCACAATGAGGAATAAAACGGCATAAATGTAGAAAATGTCTTTTTATTATAATTATTTACTTATTTACAAGTCCTTGCACACCAGCCCTAATAAGTTGGTCTTATTTGGCGGTACATTGCGACCGAAAAACCGTCTCCAAATGAAAACTTTTCCCATAGAGAGAAAAGTGATTTGGAGCACGCAAACACAGAGGAAGCGAAATAAATAAATAACCAAAATAATAAATATAAATAAGAACATTTTATTGGGTTTTACACTAAATGGTACAAGCGTGGCAAGCGATTTGCTAACAAAATGGAGTTACTTCCAGCATAAAACCCGACGTACCGTAAGCACAATAATCGATTGCAAATACATACATAACTAAATGAATATTAGAAAAAATAAACGTTATTAGGACATTAACAGTAACAAAATGTATCACAAGGTTAGAATATGTGGTTAATAACAGTCTCCGTTATTGCTGCAGCTCGGGAATGATCGTACAGCCAGAACAGACTTTACCTGCCAATTATTACTTGGTAACTATCGGCATGTAAAATTTGTGCGACTTTGTATCTCTGGTATGCTTGAATGGGCCTTTGGGCGCGTCCACTAAAACTGCGGGACACGGCCCAATATTCCTCGGTGCGTACTCCTTCTTGTACGAAGTAACCACATGCACATTACTATCACCTAGTGTGATATTGGAAACGTTCGAGCGCCTTGTAACGCGCTCCACCTTCTGGACGTTCTGCTGCTTGGTAAACTCCCCATAAGAGTTCGCCTCAGACTTCCCATAAAAGTGCCCTCCAATGGCCAGATTGTCCTTGCGCACGATCTTCTGAGGCCGTTCAATCGTCTGGTAGACTGTCGAGGACGACTGGAGGCTTCTTCTGTTCGCATTGCTGCTGGCTTCTTGGTGCGAGCGGTGCATCGAACTCAAACTATGCCGATCGGTGTTCACCACGGTTCGGCCCTGATCTTGGATGTTGCAAACGGACTTCCGCATGTCCAGAGCTGAGGCACTGGTAGCGTGCAGCGCTTCAGTAGATGTGTGCATACCTTTGCGGTGCAGAATCTGGTTGTTGATCTCTTCTGAGCTGACTGTGCTCTTGCGATGGTGCGAGCCCTGGTCGCGTTTCTCCACCAGGTTCGTCTGGCTGGAGGCGGACTGGATGATGTTGTTCTGGCTGCGCTTCTCCACATGGCTCTCCGACTGTTGAACGTGCGTTTGTGAGGACGATTTGCGAATCTCGTTCATCGCTTGGCCAGTGTGCCGAGTGACTGTGCGAGTGGTTTTCACAATCGTGCCATCGCTCAGGGTCTTCACGTCTCCAGCTGCACAAGAAAAAACTGATTTTAGATTTTTTAATGATGGGTAGGTTTTGTGAGTCTTGTGAGTATGGAGCTTCAAAGGTTGTGCGCCTCGTTAGTGTATTCATGACCATTAGTTTGAGTCAGTTTGGGCAATTACCACGCATTTTTTATTGAAGCATTTCCAGAAAAATCAGCCGTCAATAATAATTAATTTATTGCCAACCAGAAACGTCAACTGATTCCCTTATTTGGCAACACGGCGGCTTTTGTTTAAGTACTTGTCATCGTTTGCGCGAGATTTAATCAGTGTATGCGCCGGTGATTAGTTTGTGTTTAAGGGTAAAAACTGTGCAATTCCGATTTTGCTCTGTTAAAATTTCAAAAAACTCGGGCTGGTTTCGTTTTCGGAGCGGAATGTTGGTGATTTTCCAAAACGGAAAGGTCCGATCTACCGTTTTGTGGTAGTTTTCCGGTCGCTAGTGCAAAGGTAGCAAAAAAATCGGTGTTTTAATTCGGGGACTTTGTGACGTTTACTGTCATCCTGGGGCGGCCCAATTGGCATCCGTCACAGAACTGAGTGCGTTCACGCCCAACTTAGTGCCATAAACATTTTGGATTTATCTTCGAGATTTGCAGGCCGTGATTGCGATTATGGTAAAGTACATTATTAATGCAAATACAGTTGAGTCCGGATATAACAAACTTGAAAAATGAACTAAAACTAGTTCGTTATATTCGGAGTTTGCTATAAGCGAATAATAATACAAAAACACGTGGTTTATTTTATTTCGTTATTTTTACATAGAGTAGTAGAAGTTAGTAGGTATGACTAAAAAGAACACAAAAAGATAAACAAAATTCAATTTGAAATCTACTTCATAAAGTCTGTAATTTTTGTTTGTAGGTTACGGAGTCTATAATTTGCTTATCGGTCATCATTTCTCTTGTAAGAATGCCATTATTAATGCTCTTATATTCGAAGAAATTGAAATCACTCAATTTGGTTTTAACTTGTTCTTCGACAACATTGGGACATTTTCGTTTGTGTCATACTCGTAGTTAGAGTCTTTATACTTTTCTAACCATTCGCCAAGTGGAATTTCATCGTCTGGTTCATATTCATTTTCTTTTCTT